AAATGAGGTACAACAGTTAATTGTTTTCGTGCACAATAAATATAAACACGTCCTATTTCAGTTATTGCGCATCGACATTTTGATTGAATATTAAATGGAATAGGACAACTGGAAATTTGTTTAATTAATGTATATATTTGTATTAATATGAACAATGAATAATAAATATGCCGAATAATCATGATTATCTACAAATGACAAATTCAGTACAATGAATAATAAGATGAAAAAGAAAACTGAAATGAAAGAGAGAGAGAAAGAGAAAAGTTTCTGATTGTTCAAGGATTTTTTTTATTCTCTCTTTATACTGATGTTTATTACAGTGTATTTAATGTTGTCATATCCTGTTCATCCTTTCTTGCTTGCTTGTATTCTCTCTCTCTCCCTCCTATTCGTTACGTGTTCGCTACTGATTATGAAACAAGCAGTTGCGGTTAAGAGTGCTTATTTGCATTAGCGATAGATGGATTTTGACACCCTCAGCCTTGGTGGCATAAGCTTGTTACTGATCTCGTTCTTTTATTCTTGAGAGACTCGTCACAGAACGATTGTTGCGGAAATCGAAGATGACAGTACCTTTTGTTAAACTAAACATATGCGTGTGTGCAAACGTTGTGACTGTGTTCAATTACAACAATGATGAATAATTCACTATCTACATAAACGAGAGAGAAAGAGAGAGAGACGCGCGTGAGTGCATACGCAATGTCCATCAAACTAAGTAAACGGTCAGCGAATGATTATGTCATACACACTTCGATAGATAAGCATACATTATTTTTTTAAACGAAAACTATAGTTTCTTTCTAATTATACTTCGGGAAAAAAAAGAAGAAAGCTGGCAATTATATCTTTTTTTCCTCAGTAAGAAAATAAATGATTGATCAATCGTTGTATGTAACATGTTTATATTCGTGGTCAAGCGATTTCTTTTTCTTTTGCTGAATAAGAATGTGTTCGATTAATGATGGCACTTTCGTACGAAACGGAAGAAGTACTCGCACAAATATATATACATTCCGAATGTCATTATTTATAAAGAAGAAGATGATGATGAAGAAGAAGAAAACGCATCTTTATTCTCTCTCTAGGGAAAAAGAAGAAGAAACAGCTGGAAATCAACTAAACTCATCTAGATGTTGATGAGGTCCGATTCACTAGAGAAAAAAGGAGAGAGAATGAAGAAGCCAAGAAGAAGAAGAAGAAGAAGAAGAATGATGTTCATTGTTATTATTATTGTTCTGCTTCTTCTCTTTTTCTTAGCAGGTGATCGTTTTTTTTCTTGTATTATAATATAATTTTTTTAATGTTTAAGTCGTTGAGCCGTTACAAATCAACATTATCTTCTTTTTAGTTGATTGAAGGTCTGTTTGCAACAATAGGTTATATGATATGATACAAAAAAATAAAAATACAAAGAACAGATCTTAGTCTCTTTTAATTTGCCTAATCATTATTCGTCATAGCATGCTATCGAGAGATTACAATACAAGTAAAAAGTCTATTCGAAATAATTAGTAATGAAGGTTGTTTCTTTCTTTGTCTGTCTTTCTCTCTCTCTATCGTATTGTATCTCACAAGGAGATTGTTAATATGAAATGTTTACATGGTATGTTTCTTTATCCTGCTGCTGTAGAAGCACGCAGTCGAAGACCACTCATAGTCAATCATTGACAAGTGCCTGCTGTTTGTGTGAGTGTGTGTGTGTGTGTATAAGAATGAGTAAGGTGGCCATTTGAGTAAATGTTGCATCACGTTAATCGAACTCAATAACGATTAAACTTCGAAAGTGTGAAAGTATGATAGATACTTAGACATGTTTTGTATGTATGTAAAAACTCAAGAATAATAATAGAAAAATGATGTTTTCATTATCGCTGCATGTGTTTCTTTGTTTTCCATTGAATTAAGTAGAAACGCATGTTTCTTTTCATATTATATGTACAGACATTTTACTTACCTCTATTGTTATTTGACAGGAGAAGGTATTTCCGTTAATGATGACAAGTGATGATCTATGTGTACATATATATATATAGATGTATGTATGTATTTGTATGTGTGTGAGAATTACAATTGGCATTAGTCATTTATTTTTTCATTTCCGTTTTAAATTATAATCATAGTAATAGAAATTAACATGTATTCGTATATGATTCTACTGTCTAGCCCTATATAGATATTTCTAATAAATACGCAATGTGAGAAGATGATTGATCAATGTTCCTATTCGTTCTAATCAAATTGAGAGAAGAGTCTTTAATCCTACTTTGTTCTAACTCAAGTTATTGGATACTTACATATACACATGCAAAAAAAAGAAAAGAAAAAATAAAGTCGGTCAGTTTTGATTTAATGAAGTATAGATATGTATACATCGATATTAAAAAAAATAAAAACGAAGACAACAAATATTCAATATGTATATACAAAGATATGCATATATATATAAAGAGAGAAGGAGAGACGAAAATTATAGTGCACGTGTCATCTTCACATCTTTTGAGTAAAAAAATAATCAATAACCTACTATAATATATACAACTATCATGTATTAGTCGGTCAACATATCAGTCTTTCTTTTTCTTTCATTCGTTCGATACAGTCCTTGATTCTAAATAGGTTTTTCATCGACTATTATTATAGCTCTTATACACATAAACAAGTAGCATATACTCTTTTTTTCTTTTTATAGAACCGTTCAATATGTTTAATGTCTCTATGTCTTTTTCTCACACACATACACACACACATACATTGCCTCTTTTTTTTCTCAATGGTGCGCGCAATCTGTTTCAACTATGACTACTTTTGCTTTCAAGTTTTCCTTTTGTCATTGTCATACGATTTGATTATTATTTTTTTATTTCATTCACTAATAGCTACCGTTAAAAAGAAGAGAGAGAAAAAAGGGGGAGTTGACAATTGTTCTATATTATATATACTCGTATATATATATATATGTTCAGACGATGAAGATTGTCTAATTATCAATTTCTTTTATGCTTTGCAACCATTACACATTTTTGATGACGTGTAAAATGGCATACGGTTCATTAGATAAGGTCTTGAAAGAAAATGCATAAATAAATAAAAAAAAAAGAATTACTGGCCTTCGCATTTAAAGACTATTTTCTTATTCAATGTTTATATATTTATAAAAGATACATTTTTTAATTGTAAGCATATTCATACATAGACACACACACACACATATATATATATATATTTGATCATCTCCTCATTATGATTATAAGCACGTTTAGACGATTCAATGTTAACTTTTTGCTTATAAGAAAAGAAACGAAGAGAAAAAAATATGTTGCACACTAAAGTATCCTAATTTGCATCGATTAGAAACTCCTTGAGACATTCGATTCACGCATAAATAGCAGCAACTTGCCTGAACGATCTGTTGCCATCACCTTCTATATATAATTGCTCATTTAATATCTGGCCTTGTATTCTTATTTTTTTTTTTTATTATTCTTTTCACTCCAAAGAAATAGAAGGGAATATGAAGATGTTTGTCGTCCTATTGACGTTTGTTTTTTTTTATTTCACTGATATATCGAAGAAAAAAAAAAAGAAAGTTGTATCGGCATGAAAAAACAGATGTGTACGTGCGTTCGATTACTCAATTCTACTCATCTGTTTTGTCAACAGACAAATAAGCACACATATAAACTTTCTTTGAAACATAGAATATATCTATAAATCTACACTATGAATAACATAGAATCAAAATCAATTTAGCTTTTAGATTTTTTTTTTCTTCTTCTTTTGAACATATTTCGATCGTATATACAATCGAAAAGTAAACAGGTCTAGTTTCGATTTCACACATTCGTGTAAATTGGAAGCCGACACTCAATAGAAAAAGAAAATATTCGTGTGTATATGTTTATACATTGAAGACCATGAAAGAAAAGTATTCTATGTTTATATACAGATCAATTACAAGTAATTCATCTCAATAATGATTATTCAAAAGACAAGAAAAGATAACTTACTTGATTAAAAATGAAAATCTTTTTAAAATATTCTAAATGATAGTAATAATCTTTTGTTGATATTTCTATTTTGCTTTTTTTTTCTTCTTGTGCTATTCTTCAAATATTGTTCTAATCGTCTTGTTTGAATTGACATAAAGATGTCCCACAAATGTAAACCTTTTACTTATTCTTTCATTCATTTTCTTAGCTTATTGTTTGCTTATGTAACGATTACTAATATCAAATAGAATAGAATAAAAAGAAAAAAGTTTCGGCTCGTCATATACAAACTAATCGACACATTCAATTGTTTTCAGAGTTCTTTTCTTTCCGACGCTGAGTACAAATAATTTTTCTCTTTTTTTTGATCGGATTCAAAGAGTAGTTGACCGGAGTGAACACTTGATTTTTCTTTTCTAAGGTTTGCATCATACACACACACACGTATACAAATTCATAAATTGACATATGGTTGCTACTTGAGACGTACATTGCACATGCGCAATGTAATATATTTATGTATGTATATCTTTGTGTTTGTCGGATTTATTAAAAATTTAAAAGAAATATAAGGTAGTCATCAAAAGAAAGGAAATCTTTTTTTTTCTCGTTTTCAATCATACCAGAATAAAATAGCACTTATAATCAATTACTGTAGAAGATTAAAAAAAGAGGTCAACATAAAAATCTTCTATTCTAATCTATACTATTGTTTTATGAACTTACTTTCTCAAGAGTTTACGAGACTTAATGAATGCATCAATGATGATGGTTGGATTCGTAGTAAAACAAAAGAACGATAAGTATGCATCGAGTGTACACACGTCAAATCGAATGCCGTTCATTCATCGTTTGTTTCTTCAATCTGATCAATGAATAGAGAAGTGCATATACAACTGATTAGATGCATTCGTTCAGCTTGTTTTACATCTACATATATCATTAAATTTGAATATATCAAAAAAATGAAAATGTTCTTTATTGTTTTTAGACAAGAAAAAAAAAATGTCCAAACGTAAAGAACCTATGCCCAAAGACAGAAAGAAACGAGAGAAAACAACCAGTGAATCTAATAATAATACAACTGAAAAAGAAGATGATATTGAAGAAGAACAAAAGAATGAATTAGCTAAAAAAATATCTAATACAAAAACAAATACAAATTTAATCGATTATTTTACTATAAAACCTCTTCAATTAGCTATTGATAATATTAGAAAAAATATTTGTTCAAGTGTTATGGATTTTAATTTTAATAAAAATCGTGTTCAATCAAGAAATAATATTAATATAATTCCACAAGACTCTCAAACAATACTTTATTGGATGTCACGTGATCAACGTATACAAGATAATTGGGCTATGTTATATGCACAAAGGCTTGCACTTAAACAAAAACTTCCATTGCATGTTGCATTTTGTTTAGTGCCAACATTTTTAGCTGCACCATTACGTGCTTATAGTTTTATGTTAAAAGGTCTACATGAAATTGAAAAAGAATGTCAACAATTAAATATCATATTTCATTTATTACTTGGTAAAGCTGAAAATGTTTTACCTAAATTTATTGAAAATTATAAAGTTGGAACAATAATTACAGATTTTTCACCATTACGTGTATCACGTCAATGGGTAGAAAATGTTGCAAAGAAAATTACAACAATACCCGTTGTACAAGTAAATCAACAAATATTCAAAGAATAAAAGTTTATATATATATTATAGGTTGATGCACATAATGTTGTGCCTTGTTGGCATGCATCATCTAAACTTGAATACGGTGCACGTACAATAAGAAATAAACTTCATCAACATATGAATGAATTTTTTACTGAATATCCTCCAGTTATTAAACATCCATATACATCATCTAATGATCATCAAATAAAATCTATTGATTGGCAGGCAGCCGATAATAGTTTACAAGTTGATCGAACTATTACTGAAGTTTCTTGGGCTACTCCTGGTAAAAATTTTTCTTTTTTTTTTTCTCTTAGAGAAAACAGAAACAAAAAAAAACAGTTCTCTAGAAGATTTTTCGTTTCTTCATAGGTTATACTGGTGGAATCGAACAATTAGAAAAATTTATAAATGAACGTGTTATGCATTTTGCTCTTGGACGTAATGATCCAAATAAAGGTGCTTTATCAAATCTTTCACCATGGTTTCATTATGGACAAATAAGTCCACAACGTGCATTACTTGTAATAGCAAAATTACGATCAAAATTCAAAGATGCTTGTGATTCATTTATTGAAGAAGCATTTGTTCGAAGAGAATTAAGTGATAATTATTGTTTTTATCAAGAAAATTGTAATTTTCAAAAAAAAAAAAAAGAATCTAATCTTTGTTGAATATTTATTTTGAAGATGATAATATTGATGGTGCATGGGAATGGGCAAAAAAAACATTAAATGATCATCGAAATGATAAACGAACACATTTATATAGTCGTGATGATCTTGAATATGCTCGAACATATGATAAATTATGGAATGCATCGCAAATTCAAATGATTAATGAAGGTAAAATGCATGGTTTTTTACGTATGTATTGGGCAAAAAAAATTCTCGAATGGACAAAAACACCTGAAGAAGCTATTGAAATAGCTATTTATTTAAATGATAAATATAATCTTGATGGACGTGATCCAAATGGTTATGTTGGTATTATGTGGAGCATGTAAGCATGATTTGCAAGTTCTTTTTTTTTTTGTATTATTAATTTGTTTTATTTATTCAAGTTGTGGAATTCATGATCAAGGTTGGAGAGAACGACCAGTTTTTGGTAAAATTCGTTATATGAATTATGAAGGATGTAAACGAAAATTTGATGTTAAACAATACGAAAACAAATATTCACGGTTATAAATATTTAAGTTAGATGAAAATGAAAGTATTGCTAGTCATGTGATTTTCTTTTGATATAATTAACAACTGTATACATATTTCCTATTGATGAAAAATAACGACAATATTGTCTTCTCTTTTTCTTTTTTTTATCTATGTATTATCTTATGTAATTGGGCGTGCATGTGTTTCGTCTGACCCTTTCGGCAACTTATTGAGTTAACTATAAAAGATTATCGATCGACTAGTTACTGTCTGCTTATATGTTATGTTACAGGCAATATGTCATCTAAAACTGATTAGCACATCGAGTAATTGTTTATTATTATTGTTGTTGTTATTTGGATAAAAACATGCCAAGTGTAGCATCCTAACATTCTAATCATTTTGACCATCATCATTTTGTCTGTTGATAAATGATGTTTGGCATAACAATGATTTTGCTTTTTCTCTCAATGAATGTTTGACGTAGCAGAAAATGTATTTTCTATGATAGGCAAGAACGATGAAGCTATTCAGATAAAACATAGATTAAAAACGAATATTTCATTTTCTATAGTTAACTGATGAGCATATATCATGTGTTGAACAAACTATGAGATAGAAAAGAATAAGCTCATTAATGAACTTTGACATTTTCATATATTGTTGTTTTTTAGCTCATTTATAACTTGACAATTCATCAGTCTATTGTTTCGACATAGTAAAAATGAATTAATTCTATTTAATAGTTGTTTGTAGAAACAAGAAAATGAATTATTATTTTTAATCTCTTCCGATTTTAAAATGTTACTTCCTATATACTAAGTTGAACGTTTTTTTTTCCCTGAGGAAACTTTTATAAAGAGGTAAACGGAAGAATAACATACATATATATATATATACAAAGCGAGAATTAGAAAAGGTCATTTATGTACATATACAAACAACAACTCTCTTCTAATGACTAGTATATACTTTTCATCTTTTGTTCTAAGAGTTAAACAGACAAATCGACACATAGTTACATATTAGGATAAATTATAAACAAAAATCTTATTTTATAATATTTCCAGATAAATTCATTATATAATTGATATATTATTAATAAACGATGATAATAGATTGGTTAAAAGACAATTTGACACTTCTAGACAGGTACATACTCGCGTACACACGTAAAAAAGAAGATGAACTTCACAAAACACGAAAAACAAAAGAAACAATGAAACATACCTCAATTGTGCATCAATGTGCTGTAATATCAAAGGATAATTGAATTGAACTACAAATAGTAGTCGATCGATTCTAGTTACTACTTGTGAATTATGATCTATTCTTTTTCCTTTTTTTTTTTCTTATCAATCTTTTTTTTTTGTTCTCTCTCTCTCTCTTTCTCTGTCTGTTTGTTGGACATTGGTCATTGATTAAAAGAGAAAGGAAGCAAAACGATACTTCTCTCTTTCTCCTCCTTATCCATATCAATATACACGTGTCAGTTAATGACCAACAATACAGTTAAATTTTGAACAATTCACAATTGCCGAAACAATAAAATGAAATCATGTCTCTATAGAAGATTATTCCTATCTTTGATAATGAATGTTCATTTACCTATATCTATTGGAAAGACAATACTGCACTTTACATATATATACATACATTCTCATTCTTAATTTTCATAGACAAACAACATATATGTTATTGTTGTTGTTCTTGTTCTTGTTCTTGTTAGGGTTAAATTTCAAAAGTCTATTCAAGCGTTAAACGAGTCTCAAGTTGATTCATATACTGATAAATTCAAGACAACCTTTACGATTGATCAAAAAAAAAAAAAAACTATTTCTAATCGCTTGTCAATTAAATATTCTGCATCGTTGAATATTATTTTTTTTTCTTTTGTGTCATATTATATAATAAGGCATATATTTCAAGATATGTCTATCGTATTAGTAATTGATCATTCTTTCAAGGATAAAACTACTTTTCTTATATGTCTCTAAATGGATGTTCAAGTAGTTTCAAACATATGTTTAGCCGATAGGCATAAATGTTTTTTTTTTTGCTTTTTCTAGATTCATCATGTCCATAGATAATCATGAAGAATTACAAAAATTTATTGATTTAAATGAACATTATCGAACGTATCTTGATGAACATAATAATACTCGTCCCGATGGACGAAAATTTCATGAAAATCGATCAATACAAATACTGGAAAAATTTCTTCAACATTCCTATGGTTCATCAATGATTCGTTTTGGTAATACAACTGTTATATGTTCAATAACTGGTCAATTAGCAAAACCATCATTGAAATCTTTACGATCAGGTTTTATACAAACAGTTGTCTTATTACCACGTACACAAGCATGGTCAACATATGGTCGAAGACAACAAATTATTAATGAAAATTTAACATTAAGTCAACATTTACTTGATATTATTTATAAATCAAAATTAATAAACTTAGAAGATTTATGTATTGAAGAAGGTTAATATATATATATATAATTTTTATTTCTATAAGAAAAAAAAAACAAATTATTTTTGATATATCTTTTTTTCTAGGTAAATGGGTATGGTGTTTACAAATTGATTTTCAATGTTTAAATAATGATGGAAATTTATTTGATAGTTGTTTATTTGCTCTTAATGTTGCTTTACGTCATACATATTTTCCAACAGTTAAAATTGATCCTGATACACAAAAACCATTAGTTTATACAAAAGAATTAAAACGTTTTGAATATAATCAACAACAAGAACCTTTATGTTGTACAATAGCTATTTATGAATATGAACAAGAATATAAATTTCTAATTGATCCAACATTAGAAGAAGAAAATATAGCAAAATGTATTTTACATTATGTTCTATTAAAAAATGATCAAATATGTTTAATACATAAAACAAGTGGTGCTCCTTTTTCAATAAATAAATTTCATCAATGTTATTCATTTGCTCGAGAATATATTCTTGAATTACGTCGGAAACTTAATCAATGAACTGATTGACAATCAATGATTGAACTCTTTTTTTGTTTCTTTTTTTTTTTGTGTTTTTTGTTACTATTCTAACTTTGCGTGATTATGCATCAGACCGATACGGTGACACATGTTCGCATTTGAACACCCACTACACGTCTCGACGTTTGTCATCTCTTTCGATTTATTCATTAATGAGAAGACAACTTTCTCTAGTGAGAATTGGAAGACGAGACACATGTATTCAAAAATTAATCGTTTGACGGTCACTTAACCGTTAAGTAAAATATCGATACTATATAACTTTATTGATCATGATTAAAAAAATAGATTTTGGTTTGATGATGAAAAACAAATGTCTTTTTATATGTTTCTCAAAAATGAACAATAAAGTTTTTTTCATTTTCGTTTTAGATTAATGTTAACATTCTTGTGTGCTTTATTGGTTGTTGGAATACTTTTATTGGTCATAAAATTACGTCGACCAACTATTTTAACACAGAAATGTGTTCATATTGTTGTTCTTGGTGATCTCGGTCGAAGTCCACGCATGTGTAATCATGCTATTGAATTTGATAAGCATAAATTCAATGTACAATTAATTGGTTATGCAGGTTGGTCACTTGAATATATGTTTCCGGCAAAGAAAAGCATCTATTTAAGAAAAAATAAAGAACTAATACTTAATGAAGAATAGAGAACAAGAGAAGTAAGAGAGTGACCGTCTGTTTTGTATTGTGTCAATAAACACATGTACAAATGAACTGATGAAAAGATTAATAAATGAATATGATAAGACAGTGATGAAATTGATCTGAATAGATTAAAGTAGACTGGACAAACCAGTAGTGTCCTGAAGGAATGAGAATGATATTAGAAAATAAGTATTCTCGAAAATTATTTTGTTTTATGTATATATTCTTCAAACTTCACTCTTTCAAACAAAAAATATATCAATAAAAATTGGACAAAATTCATAGATTGTTTCTGATCATCACACCTATTATTTTCTTTATGATTATTACTTTCGGAAGGATTATTATTCATATTATCTCTCGATATAGCATGATTTCATTTTTGAATTAGTGTTGTTGATGTTATGGTATTTTTTTCTCGTTTCAATTGTTCAATTGATAAAGAAAATAATTCTCTTAACGTAACATTGATAGTGTGAGATATTGTTAATTTTTCTCAAGCACAATAAATCCAATCGTAATAGACATTCTAAAAGTATTACGGAAATAGGATCGAATTTTCTTTAACGGGCATTGAGAAAAGTCGTTCCTGTAGGTTACCATCGGTCACTCTGAAGTTTGTACTGGTTTTCGTTGCATCTCGCGATAGTGTTATTCAAGGTAGATGAATTTCACCGTAATTTCATTATTGATTCTCTAACAGAAGTTTTGAAAAAGTTTATATACAGAAAGCAGTAACGTCAATAAGATCGATCGATCAATCAATCTAAAATCCGATACCAATTTCATGTCAGTGACAAGAGTTTCAAATAAATGAAGAGTATATATGTATGTAAAAAAATAATTTATTTTATTTAGAATCTAAACTTGGCCGAAAGATTGCCAATAATCAAAATATTCAAATATGTGATCTGAAGCCCTTTCCAAAATTAGACGGTGAATAAGATTTTTTTGCAAAATTTTTATACTAAATTATTCCTTTAAAATTTAAGGTTTACCAGCTGTATTAGTTTATGGTTTAAAAATATTATGGCAATTCGGTACACTTGTTTTTCGTCTTTGTCAATTACCTAAACCTGATTTAATTTGTGTTCAAGTAAGATCTATTTAATTCGATTTATTTATTTATATAAATCGTTTTCTTTTTTTGTTTCTAAGAACCCACCATCAATTCCAGCGATATTTGCAACATTTTTAATGGCAAAGATTCGTGGAGCTCGTTTAATAATTGATTGGCATAATTATGGATATTCAATGTTAGCATTAAAACATGGATTTAAACATTGGATTGTTCATTTATGTCAACGATATGAATTTTTATTTGGTCAATTAGCTGATATTAATATATGTGTATCGAATACATTTGCAAAAGATCTTGGTGTTCATATGATTAAGTAAATTATTCTTTGTCTTTGCTTTTATATGATAGGAATAAATTAGTAATATCTTATTGTCTTTGAAGAGCATCTGTACTTTATGATAAACCAACAAATTTATTTCATATTCCTACGATAGAAGAAAAACATCAAATATTGATGAAAATGAATACACAATATGCTTATACACCATTTCAAGGAAGGTATATTTCAGAAAAAAAAATTTTTAATCATTAAGATTAGATTTTTATTTTGTTTTTTTTGAATAAATAGATCGATTAATTCAACTCGATTTACAACTGAAGATGAGAAAAATAATATTGCTTATTTACAAGATAGACCAGCTATTCTTGTAAGTAGTACAAGTTGGAGTGAAGATGAAAATTTTGAATTGCTCTTTGATGCATTAAAGAGTATGTTATCGAAAATTAATTTTATAATGAAATTAAAAACTTTTTGTGTTTTTTTTAAGAATATTCTTCTCATGAAATGAATAAATTACCATCGATTGTTTGTATTGTTACTGGTAAGATAAAATCGTTAATCATATTTTTCTATTCTTTAAATTTGAAACTTATCATCTTCTTTAAGATTAAATTAATTCTATCATTCTTTCAGTTTTTTTTGGCTCAATGTTATTTCAAAGAATTCTATTAAAAATATCACGTTTGTTATAGGAAAAGGTCCATTAAAGGAACAATTTATTGAACAAGTTGAACGCGAACGTGATCAATATCAACATGTTGAATTCTGTTTTCCATGGCTTGATGCTGATGATTATCCATTATTATTAGGTAGAATATGAATATCTTTTACTTTGTAAGAAACGTGTTTGGATTCTGTGAGTTCTAAATTCATGGAATTCTCAACAGAGCAACTACACTTACAGAACTGAAGAAAGTCTCGAAATTCCAGCAGTTTCAATAAGTGCAGCAACCCTAATAACTCAAGAATTTGTTGAAATCTAGGTAACAGATTAATCGTAGCACTATAAACGAAATAGACACTATCACGCCACGCTTTGCTTATTCACAAATTTTAAACAACTACAGTAGTGTCTTACATACAAGAAAACGAAACACTGGAAATGTCATGAAAGATGAGAAATATAAGTACAATCTTTTCTGTAGATATTCAAATATGTCTAAGACTGTGGGGTATAGAGTGAACAGAAATCCATAACCAGGCTGACACCACACCTACATCCACATTCTTCAAAGAGTCTCATGAGTGAAGTTGTACTTTTGAGAGTTCGGAATTCACGAAATTCGATCACTTCAGCTTTGTAAATATAAACGATAAATATTTATTAATAGGTTGTGCGGATATTGGTATAAGTCTTCATCAATCATCAAGTGGTTTTGATTTACCAATGAAAGTTGTGGATATGTTTGCTGTTGGTATTCCAGTTTGTTCGGTTCAATATGATTGGTATGAATTATAAAATTTGAATTGAAATAGTTTATTATTTACTTTCTCGTGTTCAACATAGTATTGATGAATTAGTTAAACGTGATCAAAATGGAATTATTTTTCAAGATGCTAATGATTTATGTGATCGATTACAGGTTTGAAGAAATGGTTGATTGATAAAAATTATTAGATTTATTTTGTTGTTTTTTTTTTGTTTTAAAGGGTTTACTGAATGGTTTTCCTGATCGTTGTTTGAAATTGAATAATTTGAAAACAAATTTAATTGCTAATCGATCCAATGGAAATTGGTCAAAAGAATGGGAATCAGTTATGAAACCCTTACTTCATTTACAATCGATGTAGAAACAAATATTTATTCATCATCTTTGTTTCACATGATATTATTGTTAAAGTTCATGCTCAATTCTTTTTTTCTTATAAACTTCAAATACTATTTGTTGTTCATTAATTCTAAAACCGATGATTAGTGTTATATATTAACTATTCTTTCTCTGATTATAACTTGAATGATGATCATAAAAGAAAATAAAAGATTACAATTAATTATATCAAAAGAGAATGATTAGTATGTTTGTGAATTCAACTCTCAGACATTACTTGTTGTAATACTTTAGTTATTATTAGATATCTATCAATCGAATACAAGTATGGGAATTATTCGTAATCGTTTTTTAGGACACCGTGACAATTTTGATTTAAAGATAAAGATTTTTCAATATGTTTATAAGTTTTTTAATGAAAATCCTGAATTCTGGTATGAAAAAATTAAGATAACATGTGATCAATTTGGATTAAGAATCATGAAGAACAAATGGCAAAAAAAAAACAGATTATTTTAGAGTGTACTATGGGCATGAGTTCTTAGTACGTTATGAGAGAGGACTCTTTTAGACCTTTGTTTACCTGATATGGAGATCTGTTCACAGGTAAAATACGAATTTGAATAGGATGTTAAGGATGGGAGTAAGAGTCATATGAAAAAAGAATCAACTATAATCTTTTTCTTACAAGTATTGGACATGTGGAAAGTTTTATTTCATAGATTTATGTTTAGTTTTACGTACAAGCAAACGTTCGAGACATATTAAACTAATACAAGTGCTTGACAAGTTATCAATATTGGTTATTAAAGAACTTGCTAGATATTCCGTTATTGAATAAAAAAATTATTCAGGTCAAAGATTCAGACATCTGATCTTTTAAGAACAAATAAATTCTTTCATCAATCAAACATATCTAATTGTGCAATACAAATGTTACACAATCGTACAAGATCGCATTTTGAAAATCTATCTAAACATATGTATTTATCAATTTGCCTTGATTTGTTTTAGCATCGTTTATTTCTAAGCTTAAGGTCAATTCTTTTTATTATAAAAGCAGAAATAAATTTAGGTAGTTACGAGCAGATATCTAAATGCATAGTGATACGAAACTTTCGCAAAATATATGCGTATCGGTTTAGATGTAGATATATAACAGTATAAACGACACATTCAATAAAGAGACATGCATACATAATCACAGATTGAAAGAACAACATGACAATGCAACGGTAAAACCTGATATAACAAAATAATCTAGGTTAAGCAGTGGTGAGAAAAGGTGTCAGAGTGAGGATATGAATACAACGACGCCGGCGGAAACAGACTGGAAACTGTTTTAAGAGTGAAGAATAAAGTTCTATCGATAAGAATAGCAGTAAAACAATATAGTTGTAAGAATGCAGGTGTTCAAGTATAGACCTACGGAGATAGCCATTGAAGTATAGGTTTAAAAACATAGATTTAAGGATATAGGTATTAGGAGATATCTCTAAGAGTATAGTCTTCATGATATAATATTATAATGGCATAGGTACAAGGATGTAGGCGTAAATATATGGCTACATTGAGTTACACATCATGAACTTCAATAACGACTATCTATGTGTAGTCATTGTGAATGAAACTTGAACTGAATGCTTCAATTACTTTCATTGAACATAGCTGTAAGGATTTCTAAAGTATTCTAAGAAATCGAGAAAATATAATGAAATTCAATATTATGATCTTCTATGACTATACAAGATCATATTGTCTGATCTTATACGTAGCTTAGTGTAAGGTTTGATATTAGATTTTCTAGAGCATCTCAAAGCAAACAATAGGATGATAAAATCCTGCAGGACCTTATGTTTGATCTTGGCTGATCTTACAGAATCATACAATATTAGAGATATGTTTTGAAGACCTTACGTCTGAGTTTTTTGGCCTATTATGATTTTATGTACGATTTTTGCATGATCTTGAAATAAGATCTGATACCAACGTACCACAATATGTCACTGATCTTATTATCTGATATTCTGACCTGTACACCTAGAAAATTCTCTATCATTATAATTTTTTTTCAATTAAAAGCAATATTTGAAATAGGAAGGATATTAATCGTGGCACACTTGTATTAATGATAGTTTTAAAACAAATATTTCCTTAATATCCTGTAGATGTCATTATTCTTCATGTAAAGCGTTTGTTAGTTTGCATTTGTATGTAATCCTATTGTGGAAAAGGTAGAGTTCAGGTAACGACGCCCATAATGACGTGGCCTATCGGCTATATGACAGTTCAACAAATTAACTATAGAAAAAAATAATAACAAGTAGATTTCTATTTATAGTATTTCGTATTTATATGAAATGTCCTTCTCCCGTATGAACTGATATACTCTCAATTTAAAGCTTTACCAAAAAGATCTGGTCTATTCTATTTATAAGTATTTTAATAATATTCTTATTAAATTATGGATAAATATAAAATACAAAAACAACTTGGTGATGGTACATATGGAAGTGTATTACTTGCTAATCTCAAAGATTCACCACAAGAAAAAGTTGCTATTAAACGGTAATTATATTTCATAGGACTTCAATTTTAATTATTTATTTTTACATATTTATTTACAATTTAGAATGAAAAAGAAATATTGTAAGTAAAAATTTAAATAGATTTACATATGAAATGAACTTTTTATAGATTCATGGCAAGAATGTATGGATTTACGAGAAATCAAAGTATAAATTGAATTTGTTTATATATTAGAACAAATAGTTATTATTATTCGTTTTTAAGGCTTTACAAAAAATTCGTCATCCAAATGTTATAAAATTAAAAGAAGTTATTCGAGAAGATAATAATTTATATATGATTTTCGAGGTTATTATTTTTTTTCATATAATTTTCTATAAAAATATTTTTTTTCTTATTTTGTTTTTAGTATATGAATGAAAATCTTTATGAGTTAATGAAAAAACGGTAATTATATTTTATTATTAATGATGTTTCGGTATATATCTTCTATGTATAGTGATCGTCTATTTCCTGAAACCAATGTTCGTAATGTTATATTTCAAATTTTTCAGGGTTTATCTTATATGCATAAACTTGGTGAGATTATTTTGTTATTAACATAAGAATATTCTTCTATCTAAAAACATCTACTATCAATAATTTTGATTTTTTTTTATTTCTGAAGGATTTTTTCATCGTGATTTAAAACCAGAAAATATACTATGCAAAGGTGTTGAACTGGTTAAAATAGCTGATTTTGGTCTTGCTCGTGAACTTCGGTCGAGACCTCCTTATACTGATTAGTAAATATTTGTTTATTTATTTTTTTTTATTAAAAGAAACCTTAATAAATAAAATAATTTAGTGTTTCTACACGATGGTATCGTGCTCCTGAGGTGCTACTTCGTTCGACTTCATACACATCTCCAATTGATATATGGGCAGGTAAAATAAATTAAATTATATCTCATCGTAAAATATATATATATATATATGTAATAAATTCAATCCTTTAGTTGGATGTATTGCTGCAGAATTATATACATTAAGACCATTATTTCCTGGAAGTAGTGAAATTGATCAAATGTTTAAAGTTTGTGCTGTGATGGGTACACCTACTAGAGTCAGTTAATTTTTTTTCCTTCTCTGTGAAAGAATTTTAAAATTTAGGATGAATGGCCTGAAGGTTATATGTTAGCAGCTAAATTATCATTTCGTTGGCCACAGTGTGCTCGAACAGATTTAAAAAAAATAATTCATAGTGCAAATAATGATGGTATTGATATGATTAAAGGAACACTTGAATGGGATTCAAAACGGCGACCAAATGCAGCACAAGTAGAAAAATATTTTTTTATAGAATAAGATTTCTGAATTTTCATTATTTCTGTTAGTGTTTAAAACATCCATATTTTAAAGTAAGTCAAGATGTACCAACAACAACAAATTTACATACATCAACTGGTAATAATTCATCATCAATAAGTTCAGCAAGATCTCGTGATTCAAAACCAATATTTGCAGATGATTGGGAAACAGATGGAGTAAGAAAAATATCGAATTAATCGAAAAATTTTTAACATCTTTTTTTCATTTTCAATTCACTTAAAAGACTTTCAGATAAACTAAAAGCTATAAATTACAAGTAAAACAATGTAGTAGACTTATTGAATTTTTCAATGAAAACAAATTTCTTTCCGCAGAAGATTTCGTCGAATATTAAAGTATAGAAAAGTAGTTCTCAGAAGTTTTTCTATCGATATATCTATGCAACTACCACTTCCAAGAGCATTTAAGTATAATTATTATGTAATAATAATGGTTCTAACTCAAGAAGTAAAAATAGTTGATAAAGAAGGTTTGTTACATGGATTTTTCAAGTTTTCAAACGAACAAATCCTTAGTGTTGAATAATCATAATACGAAACGAATTTCTTTCGTCTTCTATACTTATGTGTGAACAAGTCTAAATCAAGCAGGTATCACTATATCATGAGCATTTCTCTCGTCAAATTCGTCGCATAGAATCCGTTAGTGTTCAGGCTTTCTGTTTTTAGTTTTGTATTTTTATATGTATAAAAAAACAAAGTTTAAAAATATTCTTACATTTATGTCTCTCTTATTTCTTAAGCTAGAACCTTTATTTTTATACATTGTGTATATTTTCTTTAAAATAATTGTTTATTTGTATCTAAGTACTAGCGCAGATATATTAATTAGAATATATAAGTGAATTAATGCCATTTCAGTAGTTTATTAGTCTTTGAATATGATATTTAAAGTTTTGAAATATTAATTTTTTTTTCTTTGCAAACAAAATTATTTACTGAATGAAAGGTATTTTGTATTTTTGAAAAAAAAACGTGTAGACACAAGCAGAAATTAATATAAATTTTGCGGTTTTAGTTAGAGAAAGAGCATGATATACTACTCGTAAAATATACTTTCAATCAAACGAAACTAGAAATAGCTTTATGCCCAGACACATTTGTACAATTTATTAATTTTCGAAGAGAAACAATCTATATCTATATTATTTATTATTTTTAGAATAAAACTCCATCTAGTCCTGATGACATGCATGATATAGATGTGTTATTAAAGAAAATGGAACAACAGAAAAAACCTATTGTAAAAGAAAAAAATTCTCAACAAGAGAAATCAACAATATCAAATTTCTCTACATTTCATAAAAACGATTCATCGATCTCAGATAATCAAAAAGGAAATATTCCAAATCCAAATTTTTCTTTTGGTACTGACCAGCGTCGAACATTAAATTATAATAAACAACCATCAAAAATATCAGCTGATCAATCATTGGATATCGATGATATATTACACAGTCGACCAATTCAACCTCAACAACCATCATATTTTAAACCTTCAATACAACCAGCAAAAAATTCAGCGGCATCAACAAGAAGAGATAGTTTATCAGATTTATTAAATGATGATCGAAAACTAACAACAAAAAATCATTTCAATCAACCATCAAATATATTTTCACATAAAGTTACAACAAATGTACGTGGTAAACCGGTCATTAATCTCAATCCAGATGATTTTTTTTCTAATACAAATAATCGAGATCAAAGTGCAACGAAAGCATCATTAGCAACAACGAAAACATCCGCTAGCCATTATTATTTAGGAAGTTCAAGATATAAACCAGGTCAAATTCTTATTATTTCCCTTCAATAAAAAAAAAACAAGTCTTTATTCTTTAATTATTTTAGGTATTAATCCTAAACAAACCGTACATAATGATGGGCTTAATTGGATTACGGAATCATCAATTAATAGTAATGCAGCAGGTATGAAATTGTTTTTTGCAATAGTTATTAAATGATTTTATTATTCAATATTATCTAGCTCGTGGTCCAAAATTATCATCCTATATACCAACATTTGGTGATCAAAGAAAACGTATGCTTGAAAAATTTCTTTTTTTTTTTTTCTTAATCTTATTCATTATCTTTTATTTATCATCTAGCAGCAGCTCAACAAGCTCCAACAATTTTTAGTGATTGGAATCGGTATTAATTTTTTTTTAATTATTTTTCATATTGATTTGTTTTTTATTTTTTTAGTCATGGTCAATAATCATATTCAGATTATTTTTTATTTCGTATTCAAAGAGAACATTTTGTTTTTCTTTTTCATTTTTTTTCATGCATACCAAAAAACTAAACATAAACGGATTTTTCTTTATTTCAACGTATTTATGCTTTTTATGTTCACACAAGTATACATATATATTTATATTGTTAAATTTTTTAACAAATTCTTCTGTCTTATCATATCTCATATGTTGTAACAGTGAACTAAATACAATATTGATCTGACAGTATTTCCTGTTATATCGTTTATTAATAATACAACAAAACAAAAAAAAAATAGAAATACTTCTGTAAAACATCAAAAGTGTTAAATGATTTTCTACTTTGCTCTGTTTTTTTCCTCCTGTATGCTATCACATGATGCTCGTGGTGACAAGTATAAGTATAGAAAATTAATGAGTGAATTTTGTTTGTTTAATAAAGAATAATTCATATTTTTTTGCCATGTTTAATAAATGTTTATATTAACTCAATGTTAATTACTCATTAATGACGTTTGCTAATTATTTTCTATGTTAATTAGTGTATGTAGAATTAGGAGTAAAAATATGAGAAAAGAGTTTGAGTCTAATGACAGCAATATTTAATATTTCATGCCGTTAAAGTATACAGTCAAATGACATAGCAGACTTGATTGGTTAATTAAATATTTATTTTTAGGCTAAAAAAATTGTTGATTTTGATGATGTTCACATGTATATTTGATAATAATGTATATAGGGATAACTAATTTTACAAAATAATCTTGTCAAATTTATTTGACGAATAATTTCATTGATATTCATGAGAGAACGTTCCTAAGTCATAAATCACCGTTTAGTTACTACCATATTCGATTGATCGAGCCTAGAGAGAGTAAGTAAGTACCCTAGAGTGCTTCATACTATTGTACTTTTGTTGCTGAGATATCGAATTTTCAGTAAATCTTTCCTGTAGGGGTCCAGTTTTCAAGCAACAATCAGACTTTTCAAATTTTGAACTGAAACTTTGCCCACATAATGGTTTCAATTAGACTAGCTTGTGCAAAAACATTTCAGAATTCTTTGAAAAACTCTCCAGCATGTGAATTTTGCAAAATATAGGAGCATCATCATGAGTTTTTTAAACAAAGTATGGTTGTTTTCAAAGATTTCTATCTTGAAAAGACTTTATAAAAGAATCATGAAATTTTTTTCTACAAGCTGATCTGATCGAGATCTTCACGTGAGCAATATCTCAGACCAAAATTACAAAGTATGATTTTTGCTTGAAAACTGAAACTAGCCAAGAAAATAATATTAATAAATTTAAATGTCTAAAAATAATTATTGATCCATATGTTTATTCATCATATTGTTATTATTCGAACCTAATCTTTTCAACTAGATGAATTAAATAATATAAATTTTAAAAATTTTAATAATGGAATTGATTCAACATCCAAATAGTCTATATAAAATAATTTTCGTAAACAAAATAAAATAAATATTGTATAAAAACATGTCTTTTTTTCATAAAGAAACGTTATTCTAATTCAATCCAAAACAAAAAAAAAATAAGATATTCATAGATATATATATGTATATATGGAAAAAACACTTTTAAGATTCACTCAAAAAATACTGGCGGTTGATCAGTATTTAATGGATGTTGATATATGACTGTTGCTGATGGATATGATATAGGTGGTTGTTGAAGATCAAATGGTGCTAATGATTGTTGTCTTATTTTTGTTGTTCTAGTTGATAATGAACCTTTATGTGCAGAATTTTGTGAACGTCCTCGTGTTCCATTTTGTTGATTTATTGGTAAAGCATTAAGACTAACAGCATTACGATGCATAGCATTTCGAACTGTTGGTGGTGGTAGAGGTGTTGGACGAGTTCGTCCAACAACTAGAGGATCAAGAATTGAACCAGCATGTGTAACAAATTGTGGCGATGAAGATGATTGTCGTTGTAAATGTTGTAAACGACCAGGAGAAGATATTTGTTGTTGAAGTACAAGACGAGCGGATGGTAATGTTGAAGTTTCAATTCGAGAGAGTGTTGGTGTTACTTTAGAATTTGAAGTTATTGGAGGTTGTAAAGATCGTTTATATGGTGTTTGAACATTTGAATAACGTCGATTATCATAAGTTGTTTTAAAACGTGAAGATGTTGATTGATTAGAATTTGTTGCTGATATACGATTGAATTGATTATTTGACATTATTCGATTTGTTATAGTACTTGGTGGAGCACTAGACACAAGTGGAAACGATGATGTCATTCTAAAACAACAATAATAATTGTATAAAAGAAAAAGTTCATATTTAAATCAATTTTTACTGTTGTTGTTGTTGTGTAACATTTGATAAATTATTTGGATTCGTTGTTGTTCGATATGTTTGTGTAACTCTTGCTATATATTGTTGTTGTTGTTTAACACGATTGGTTGTATTTATTGTTGATGATGGTATTGTTGATGATATTGTTCGAGAATTTCCAATACGATTGCGTTGTTGTCTTATTTGATGTTTAAGAAAATCACGTAATGTATGTAAAGTTTTAAATGTTGATTGACTAACACGTGTAAACGGATTTCGTCCATGTAAAATATCAATTGCTGCTAAAGCACATGCTTTACCAACATCACGATAATGTTCAATAGTAAATTTTGGTGGTAATGAAAATGGTGTTGCTGGCGATATTCGACCACCATGTGCATCATTTTCAGCTGCTGGTATTGAATTACATGATTTACCAACAGCATATGAACATTCGAGTGTATAAGAATGTAGTATACCAAAATGTTTATTAAGAGCAACACGCCCACTCCCTTCTTTAGATAAACCTTCACGTTTATCTTTCATATACATATTTTTTATTGTAAAATTACAATTTTCAAAATCAAAATGTGGAGAATTAAGAGAAATTAATTTTGCAAATAGAACATTATCAGTGTGCTGATCATCATCAGGCAAATGATTACCGTAAATGAAACAACCTAAAAATAGATTTTAATGATGATATTTTTTGTTTTTATTAAATGTACAGAATTTGTACCTTTTTTGGATGCATGACCATGTAAATCTATATAATAAGCAACACCACTTTCATGTGGAGATATTTTAAGAAAATCTGGATTGGCTAAGTGTGGTGATTTAACTTCCTGAACACCATTTTCATTAGTTTGACCTGATGAAGGCATATCATCATCATCATCTGAACCTTCATTACCTTTTAAATACAAATTAGAACAACAAAGATTAATTCAAAAATATTCAAAGAATAATATAAAAATAAGAGAATGAATTTAAAAAACATGCTTATGAGTTAAATTACATCGACTAAGATTAAATAATTCGTGAAAAAGATACGTTCTTTTATCAATATTATGTCGGCTTGTTGCATCCGATATAAGAAACATCACAAACTGACTATGAAAAACAGGAATTTATCTAGCATAGGGCTCGAGAATCGCCAGGGCTTCTCGAAGATCGGATCGGATCAGATCAGATCGGCTCTCCCGAAGCTTGTGTTTATTGAATCACGTACTATGTGTCTGTGCCTCTGAAAATAGATGTTTACTTTCCTTGGAGTTTTAAATCACCCATCTGGAAGAGACAATATAGATAAAATAGAAGTGAAAACTATTAATATTTCTCATGTACTGTGTGAAATGAAGAATACTAACAAGTTCCATTGATAGTTTCATCTTATCGGTATTAAATCATTAGCAATACGAATGATTTTCATTATGATATTCAATAAGAAAAGAAAACATTGCTTTTTTAAAATTAAGTATTAACTTTATATAAAATTGCAATATTCATACAAGCCAAAAGAAAGTTAAGCAAGTGGACAGAGACAAAAAAAAATCGGAATAATAACAAGTCTTATTGTCATCACTCGGGCATTCTCACATTAAATTAACGTTATTCATTTATATCTTATTTCATTAACAGCTACATCATATCATTTCAGAATGATTCAAACGTCTTTAGTCTTAGAGCTTAACATCATTACTTTCTTAAAATTACTTTTTTAATATGATACCAATATATCAAATTCTAATTGCATACTGTATTGAAGAAAAATCGAATAGTATCTAAAAAATAGTGTCTAGAAATGATCGATATAACTGTGCCAAGAAAAAATTTTCAAATTGCATAAAATATGAGTCTTAGATTTAAGTCTAATTACCTCTTATTTGATTTCGAAGATTTCCATCATCTTCATCATCATTGTCAACAATAAATAAATCTCGATGGAGTTCTAAATTTTCATTAACATAATGAAATGCATATGGAGATGTAGGTTGCATTTCTACATCAGAAGTTTCCGTTGTTAAAGTTGGAATTAAACCATTTTCACTTCGTTCAAGAAAAAATGGTTCGTTTTCATCATGAATTATTTGTTCGTCTAAAGGTAAATTTTCAAAAGCATTATTATTTGGTTGTGTGTAATTTATCATTGTTGTTTCATAAAGAATTTCTTGTTGAAAATGTGTTCGTCTAGGAGTTGATTTTCCCTATTATATTATTAATAAAAAAAAAACAGTAACTTAAAATCATTTTCAAACTAAACTAAAACTAATCTTTACCTGAAATTGACTATCATTTAATATTTGTTGATTATCTGATATAATCGGTATTGATTGTTGATTTGCTTGTTCAGGTGGCATAACATCTTTAAATATATCATAAACAGATAATGGTGGTCGTGGTGATATACAATTGTTAATATGATGATAAGCAATTAGACTTTTAGCAGCATAAATTGACGGATGCTTTTCAAAATCAGGATCAAGATACATACGATTTAAATTGACTCCAAATTGATCTGTACGATAATGTCCACGTTGTACACCATCAGGATTAAGAATTGGGATAAGTTTAAAAATATATGAATCACGTAATAATCTTGCACGAGGATCATCAGTTTTAAGAATAAAATCCAAAAAACCAAGAAATACAAATGCAGCTGGTGTTTCACCGGGATGTACGCGACTTGAAAGAAA